CGTACAAAGTGCAATGAAGGATTAAGAAATAAGATAAATACTAAAACCACAGATAAGAAACAGAAAAACAAACAGCTAAATCTATTTTACACTAACACTCTTATGTATTATCTCTTACGTTTCTATCCATGGAAACCACTCTGATTTCTGTATCTATGCAGCATTTTGTATATTGCCTTTTGTCTTTGATCTCCTCACTTCACTGTCTCTGAGGATATTATCAACTCCATACAACCCCAATTTTCTAGGTCTCTCTCTTTCTCTCCATTCACTTTTTCTTCATATTTTTGAATTGATCATTGTTCATTTTCTTTATGTGACATACAACCTCAACATACTTCTTTACTATTGGCCACTGATTCCTGCTGTTCACTTACCCCTTCATTCTTGATCCTGTGTCTTCTTGCTTTACTTCTATACATACTTCTTTGATATCCCATTTTCATAATCTTCAGATTACTTTTAAATTTCTCCTGACATTCTGAATTCTCACTTCCCTCTTACAAAGTAAGCAGGAGTACCCTTCTATACACAACCACTTCCATTTTTTAAACAAGCATTTGTGCTTTGCAACAGATCACACATTATTCACAGTTTTTCCTTCATGCCTTAAAATTTGTCTACTTTTTTTATTTTTTGTAGTAAACATACTACCAAGATATACAAAGTCATCTATTTACATTTTCACAGTTTGCATACAACTTAACATTTCCATTCCCACAGCATAGTTGAACCTGCACTGAATGACTGCTTTGGTGGGAAGAGGCTTAAACTCCTGCATCCTTCTACTAAACTCTGCATCATAGGGTAGTATGTTTACCCTGTGTTCATGTTTCTGAGCAAGATATCCTGGGGGCGCCCACTAGTATGGTAAATGCAAGACGAAGAATAGCTGAGCTTTAATTAGAAAGCATACTTTTCTTTCAGAGACTCGGCTAGTATTCCATCTGCCCTCTCATGTATCTTGCTAGTATCACATTCTTCGCTGAACTTCGCTATCATTCTTGATTCTATTTTAAATGGTAATGTCTAACGGAGAGAAGGGAACTGCTTCTCTCGCTAGGATTTCTCCAGATGTGTTGGGCATGCCAATCAAGGTAAGAAGATGAAGCCAAAACATCTGGGGGGCGGGGCAGCTGAGGAAGCTTAAAATTTTACAAAGAAACTTTCTATCTTCTTTGCTTTCTCTACTCTTCTACTGAGCTGTACATTTTTTATGGGCATAGATACTTCCCTTCTCCAATGTACATCTCTTCATTGGTTGCATGGCAGCTTGGATGTGCCATTGTTTCCTACAGTAGATCCAGTGATCACAATACAAAACAGGCTTAAAGTCACAACCCATTTAACCTTGCTTTTAGCCTTCTAATTCAATCCTATTTAGAAATGGAGAGAATTATGCTGTAAGAGTCTCTAGCTCTGGATAGAATAGTGTCAGTAAAATATCAAGAAGAAATGTTCCCATTTAAATATTTGGAGCTGAGGAGATTAAAGTTGGGAAAATATTCCCCAGTTTTACATTCCCTAAACATTTGGAGATTTTTGATTTGGCTTGTCCTATTCCAGTTTTGTCATTACAAATTCTGGTATAGCCTAGTCAATGGATAAGCTGAAAAGTATCTGTTATGTTTCACTTCATATGCCCACAAAACTTAAGTAAGGAGCTATCCCAAAATCCAAGTTAGTTTATTCCCTTGAGTAGAGCTATTCAACACTCCCTAATGGTCAAAGGGAACAACTTTGAAGACTAAAATCCCACCAGCAGTCCATCCTTCCTTGGTAGTGTCAATGCAATTATCATTCTCATCACTAATAAGCAATTTGTTGTCTTTTTGTGACATCAGATGTGCTCCACGAAGAGTCTGAATGGCATTTCTAACCTCGGATGTGAGTGTGCTGCCTAATCCTAGGTCCAATTGCAGCATTGGAACTAGGCCAAATGATGATGCTGTATAATAGTTACTTATTTGTTTGTAAATACTGTGTCCCCCGGAAAAGGGGAATTAATGTTAATATAAAAAGGAAGAAATCAAATATATTTTACTGTATTATATTTTAGAGTGTATTTTCTGTTTAATTATTTTAATTTTAATTTTGGCTACTCTGTGTAATGTATGACTGGAATGATCAGAAAGAATTTACCCAATAAATAATAACTACATAATTTTAAAAGCACAGTCTAAAAACATCAGGATATTGCAAAGAGTTCCAGTCCAGCAAATTGCAGCTGCAAAAAAGCAGAAATAAAAATTCTGAACTCCCTCTCCCTGCTGCCCAAGTAAAATAGTTCTACTTTTTCTAAAATAGAGCAAAGCAATTTACTGGGCTCTTTGTGGGCAGGCTAGAATAGCATTCTGGTATGATTTGAACTTGGGACTCTCTGGATTCACTTAAATCACTTTAACTAAGAGCAGAGAACAGGTCTCTTCTCAAGTTCTGATTTGTTTGGCTAAATATCAGTTTCTGGAGTAGCCAGTGTGCCCAAAGTATTGGAAGAACTTAGTTTCATCTTGAACTGACCAGAAATGGTCAGAAGAACAATGGTGCAGAAAACTGAAACCAAATGGGAATGCCTTCCAGTTCTATCATTTGCAATTGTTGTGGCTTTTTTGCATTTTACACAAGTCAAGCTTTCTAGATGAAGAAAGATATCCATATGTCTAGTTTGTGGGATTGTTCACACTATACTGGTAGATCTGGCTTTTCTTTCCTGGAGAAAATTCAAGTATGAGTTTATAAACTGATGCAACACTTGCCTACCTAGTCATCGATTTGTCAAAGAATGAATTATTTGATTAAATATAAATTCAATGGTAGATTTTTAAAAAAGCATTCAAATTGATTATTACTAGATACAGTGTTATGGGAATGCCAATGTACCAGCATCAAACAGCCTGAACAAATATACAAACATTCTCCTAGTTCCAAACATGCAGATAGAACATTTGCCATAGTAGTGATTTAATTAAAGCTTAGGTTAATTAAGTTTAGTGAGTAAATGGATTAAAGCTGCAATCCAATGTACATATACTGGGAATGGGTCCCAAAAGACTTCTGTCTGAGTGAGACACATCTAGGATTATGAGATAATGTTTGTGGAGCCAAGCAGAACATTTTGAAGTATTCGCTGCCAATGTCACTGGCTTGCTTTGGCTCTAAACATTCAAATCAGTATTGTGAGGAATTAATTTTGTGGTTCAATTTTTTTCTGGGGTAGTCACACAAAATGGGCTCTAACTTTTGCTTGAACTTCCTGCTATTCTATATATGTGATCACTTTGTAAATGCTCTCTGTTAAATAAAAGAGAAGTCTAGTATTTGTGCTTAAAGTGTGCAATGGCAAGCCGATGAGTGCTTTTTCTCCCAAACTATATCCCCATTCCAGATCATTCAAAAAGCTCTCTCTCAGAGAAATGTACTTGTACTCTGATATCCTGTGGAATGTTAACAGATGAGTCCTGATGGAGTAAGTGAAAAATATCTCTTGCTAAATTACTCATTTATCTTGCATGAGTTTCCTTCAAATGGGATGAAACAAAGATTGGGAAGTTAAGCATGCAGAATAAATTGTATCAGTTATGTGAATATGATGTCCCTTTCTTTGGATAACTTTGTGGCAAAGTGATCATAGCAACAATAGCAGAAGACCATGTTAAAAATAATGCAAATATTCAGGTTTTCTGTTTCTTTTAGGGTAGAATACAGGCTTTTTATTACAATGCACCTTCTCCAACCCTTGCTTCTCTCCTTGCATGCCTTGCAAATGCAGACCTAATAAATTGTGTCTACAACCATCAAAGCTTCCTTAAAACATGTATATTCTTCAGTGTGTTCATGAAATCCTTTGTTGAACCAGTTCAAAGTTGGCTAGGACGAAAACATGGGCAAGGGTTGGTTGCAGACATTTTCAGCTTATGCTTCCATCTGAACGTAACAAATGTCTGTGTGAATTTGCTTCAATGAGTAGAATGGATGTCTGTGAGTGATTCTGCCCCACCCCCAATGCTGGGCTTTGTAGAGATGCTGAAGTTGAATGAATTGATGGATGGCAGCACTCAGCCGACTGGATTGGTTGCAAGGCTTTGAAATCCAAAACCTGAATGAAGGACTAATTCTAAACCAAATTTAGGAATGGAATGTGGTTTTGATCATTCTAAGGTAGTGTTTGCAAATGATAAATATTCAGTAATGCAGGCAGCACCATTTAACAGTGACCTTGTAGTCAGGCCAAATGTTGCAAAGGAGAGGAAAAGAAATGAATATATTTTCTTTTTCGGTCTATAATTTTTACTTACTTATTGAAGAAGAGAGCTGGCAGGGGGGAAAAATGGATTCCACCTCCAGAAATATGGTAACTGAGGAATCTTGCTTGGTTCAAAACCTTATAAGGACCAGCACTGAAGATGTTAATGCTAAAAGCTTGATTCATTAATCTAAGGAAGCAAAATTGCCATGGTATATTTTTTATTGAAGACCAGCCAATATTTTTTAGCTCCTGAGATTCCTTGCTTTCATACAATAATTAGCCTATATTTGTATATGTGAAAGAATAAAAATTGCAGCAGATAGAAAACTGTTTCCTAGAGATAAATCTCTATTTTATAAAGAAATTCAGGGATGGGAGAAAAACTCGGTATTCTCCCCCCCCCCCCTCTGCTTATTCTTTAACTTTATTTGTAGGATTAATGGCTAAAATATAGAACACTTATCTTTTTGCCAACAAACATTTGAAAAGAAAGCTTGTTGTAAATGTACAATCATCAATTTACAGTTATGAAATGGTTTGGGGAGATAATTCTTTTGTAAGCACGCGGCACAATCTTAAAGAAAGCTTTCAAGCACTCAAGAAATCCCCTTGGGTGATACAACCTAGATCAAAACATGTAGCAACATGTGCTGTACATGTAAGCATTCTAAATCCAGCTATAGGGTTTAGGCATGTTGAGATGAACAATTACTTCTGGTTTCTAACTGTCAACATTTGTGTTTCCCACATTCAGGTTTTCACTCGTTTGGTACATGCTGGTGGGACACACATAAAGAGATCATCCAGGAATGGTGGATCACTTGCTTCCTGCGGATGAATCTTTCTCATCCATCAAGCCTTCACTTGGATACTTTGGGGACATGACAGCTGTTGGGAGGTCATACCAAATGCTGCCTTCCCCAGTGTCTGAAGATGACAGTGATTCCTCAAGTTTTTGTTCTTGTTCGAGCCCAGATTCACAAGTTCTAGGCTCCAGCTATGGGAGTTCATCAAGTGCTGAGAATCAGGACAGTATCTTGGACTACTTGTTGTCCCAGGCATCTCTGGGGAATGGCCATGTGTCTTGGTGGGATAAAAGGAGACTTCAGCCCATTGTGAAGGAGGAGAATTTTAGAATGCCAGAGTTTACAGTGGAGATGGAAGATTCTGGACCATTCCAGCCAACCCTTGAGGAGATAGAGGAGTTTTTGGAAGAAAACATGGAGATTGATCTCAAAGAAGGACCTAAGAGTGAGACCAAAGACATGAGAGCTTGCAGCCAAATTACTGTAGCTTCCATACAGCAAAAAGACCAGATGGTACCAAGTGTTACTTTAAAAGACAGTAAAAATGAACAATCAAATGGTGCAATGGAAGGCAGCCATACATCCAACGGAACAGTGTCCATTGATGGAGGGATACCAGTCATGCTCCAGATCCAGCCAGTTCAAGTTAAGCAACCATCAGATGTGAGCCCTAGTTCACAAGGACAAGTGCAAGAAAACATAAAAATTGCACAGCTCTTGGTCAACATCCAAGGGCAAACTTTTGCACTGGTGCCGCAACTTGTTCAATCATCCAACTTGAACTCATCTTCCAAATTTGTCCGCATTGCTCCAGTTCCAATAGCTGCAAAACCCATTGGTCCAGGAGGTACAATGCAGGGTCAAACTGGAGTCATCATGGGTCAAAAGTTTCAAAAGAATCCTGCAGCAGAACTCATTAAAATGCACAAATGTACTTTTCCTGGATGTACCAAGATGTACACCAAAAGCAGCCATTTGAAAGCCCATCTAAGAAGGCACACAGGGGAAAAACCCTTTGCATGTACTTGGCCTGGCTGTGGATGGAGGTTAGTACTGTCATTTGGTGGTTGAATCCAATTCATAAATTCTACTGTCATAAACAAAGTAATTAGAGCATGTTCCCTTAAAATTTGGTGACTCTCCAGAAACAACTGTATTTATATAATAGGACGTTGGCCATTATAAAAATACTTGGTGATATCCCATTTATAAAAGATAAGTCAGAGTTGACAGAGCAAGTTCTGCTGTTTGAATGCCATTGACCCAATCACAGTTTACTCTTTTAGCAAACTGTTTTAGTAAAGCTTAGATACCCTGATATAGTTCAGCAGGAAAAGAGACTCTTTGCATTCAGAAATTCCAAGGTTCATTCTTGTCTACTCCACTTAAGAGGTCTGATAGCAACTGCTGGGAATGATTTCTGCTAGAGAGACCGTGTTTCTATCTACTGTATCTAGTATCATCAATTCAAAAGACCAGACTAAGTAGGGATATGAAAAACACACCCGTTTAGGAATTATGTAAGTCAGCTTCCTATATTTTACCCATTACAATTTATAAAATGTTGATTGTGATTCCAAAATCCCTTTTAGCTCAACGGATCAGAGGATATCTCTATTATGTAAATAGCTTAATTTCTTCACAAATGAACACAACACAAATGCACTTATACTTTCTCAGATAAGGAGAAACTTTCTAAAAGTGAGGACAAATAACTGGTGGAATAGCTTGTCTTCTGAAGTTGTGGGTGCTTCATCACTGGAGGTTTTAAAGAAGTGACTGGACAGCTACCTGTCCAAAATGGCATAGGGACTCCTGTTTGAGGTGAGGGTTGAACTAGAAGACTTCAAGATATCTTCCAGTTCTACTCTGACTGAAATCTCAGCTGTGAAAAAAGACTCTTAAAAATCTAAGATATAAACAACAAATATTTTCTACTATGGATAGCCACAAGTGTGATCTTCCAGTAGTTTCAGATAGATTGTTTATTACTGTATGCATGTGAGAGTTTATAAATGTATGTTTGCATACAGAGAGATTGATTCAAATTAATACACATTTTTTTTCATGATAAGGAAAGATTAGTTAAAATAACTCCTAAATCTTTAGATAAAGAGAATTTAAACTTCCATGACCCCCAGTTGTTACTGCCAGTAGTTAAAAGATAGTAGGAGTTTTAGGTCACATATTCAGGATTGGTTACTTTATCAAGTAAACCCAAGACTTAATTTCTTTAATTTTGAAATGTGAAAAAAAAAATCAGAATTAGTGATTTGAATTCCTTCCTTGCATGCTATAAAGGTTCCCTCCTCTGGTTTTTTTGGGGTGGATGGGCTGGGGTGCATTGGTGTCTATTAATGACAGAGTTTTATATAAACATTTGTAATATTTATTTTCCATTATGTAAAACATACTGTGACTAATACCTTCCTGGCAAACTGCTTAAAGAGAATAAGAATAGAAATGACTTTGCAGCATCGCCAATGGAACTGCATCCTAGGGGATGACTTTGACAGCATTAGCTAGGTTTGATTTATTAAGCTTGGGCTATTCTGGAATATTACCCTGTACCTTCCTGGGCAACCATGGCCCCTTGAGAATCCACACAGAGACAGAGGCCTCCTGCATCTTAGATGGCTGAGGGATCTGATCAAGGTACTAGGCTAGAAGTCGGGAGGCTGTGTGTTCAAGTCCCACTTTAGCCATGAAAGCCAGGTGGGTGACCTTGGGCCAATCAATCTCTCAGACCAACCCACCTCACAGGGTAGTTGTTGTGGGGAAAATAGGAAGAAGGTATGTTTGCTGCTTTGTCCAGCTTGAGGTTGGGGACTAATTTAAGGACTCCCTAAAGAATATCTGATCATATGATTTTTTTTGCTTCCAATTCTTTGTATAGCAGTATGTGCAAAATATTTAATAATGCTTTAGTAGTCATTGTAGGGTGTTTCACTGACTCTCAGAACATAGCAGTTGAGTATTTACTAAATATGGTCCTTTTCCAGATATTTTGGATGTGTGTGAGAATGTTGGATTAGTGCAGAGTTGGGCAAGCTGAGGTTTCAAGGCTGAATGTATCCCTGAGGCCTTTCAGTCTAGCCCTCAATGATTTGTTTACCAAAATTGCCAAAAATTTTGCCATAGTGTCCCACCATTTTGAGATGGGAAAGGTGGAAAACTATATGTAAGCCCTAAAATAGGCTTAACGGTTTAAACAACAGCTACTCCCTTCAACCCTCATTCTCCTATCATCTCAAAAATCGACTTGGTTGATTTTTCATTTTACTCTAAAGTGGTCCTCACTAGCCTCCCATTTTAAGTGCAGCCCCCCACCCCCACCCCCCAAAAAGTTACTACTCTGCACTCTGAAATTTGCTTGTATATTTGTGTTTGTGGGTACTTGTCTTTGGGCAAATATAAATTGGCTAACCAGAATTCAGAAATAGTGCCTTGAGTCAGCCAGATCAGTGGCCCTTCTTCCAAAACAGAGGGGAAGGGAACATTTAGAATGGCTTGTGGACTAAATATGTCACAAGGTTTGCTGGCCTTAAAAACAAATAGAAGAAAAGCCGTGGCAAATGAATCTCAATGCTATGGAACTTAGTAATACCACTGCTTCATATTCCTTTGTGAACTATCAATTCCATGCTTCACTTTACTCTTCTGTACCGCTCCCAAGTGCTAATCGAGCACATCTCTGGCCCTCTTGTTTTCAGCAAATATAACTAAAATGCACGATTGCTATGATGAAAACCCACCAAAAAGGTAGTGTCATCCCTCCAAGATAGACAAAATCAGGAAGCCAAAGTTATGCATAGGAATACTTACTTTTATTATATGATTACAGTAACAGAATTTTTCAAATCTGAATGGGCTTTCCTGACTCCCTTTATTTTTGTGAGAATGACAGAGAGTCTTGCTTGAGATGCTTTCTCACAATTACAATTCTGGCCCAGACTCAGGATTCTTTTATCTGACCATTATTTTGGCTGTAGCTCTTCCTTCTGTTCCTCAAGGCTTCTTCTCATTTAGTGGTTCAACTTGTGAAATTCACAAATCAACCAAGTGATTTGAGAATTGCTTTTAAGTTAAGGAGTAAGTCTCGGGTCCCCAATCCCTGGTCTGTGGCATGCCAGAAATCAGGCCGTGCAAACAAGTAAAGCCCCTTCCGTGTGTGTGGGAGATGCAGACAGCATGCGAAACCATACCTGCCCACCCATACCTCAGAAAAGCCTCCTTCTATGAAACTGCTCCCTGGTACCCAAAAGGTTGGGGGTCACTGGATTAAGTGATAAATAGGGTAAAGCTGTAATTGGCAACAAGCTAATCTTAGATATTTCTCCAGGATTTTTTCCTTCTGGCTGGACAAATGTACTGAAGAAAGTCAAATGCCTCCAGTGCAGTGGTGGGATTCAAAAAATTTTACTACCAGTTCTGTGGGCATGGCTTGGTGAGCATAATGTGGCTCGGTGGGCGTGGCTTGGTGGGCGTGGCAGGGGAAGGATACTGCAAAATCCCTATTTACTTCCTCACCCCACTAACCTGCTTTTCAGCTATATTCTCCTGTGCAACAAAAGAGGACCCAGCTGATCAGCTGGGACTCAGGAGGCAGAGAATAGATGGGGGCAGGGCCCGTCAGAGGTGGGATTTGCCGGTTCTCTGAACTACTCAAAATTTCCTCTACCAGTTCTCCAGAACTGGTCAGAACCTGCTGAATACCACCTCTGCTCCAGTCTAATTCCATCTGAATTTGGGTGTTATTCTGATCCCAATCCATGTTTGCCACTAGAATTTGTTGCTATACAAAGGAAGGGAAGTTGCTGCATTTTTCCTTCATATGTTCCTCTCTTTGGGGACGCATCTCTGCTTTCCAACATCAATTGAATGTTCTTCTTGAACATCAAAGTCAGATTGTCAAATTGACTGAGCCAGCTGAGCTTGGAATTACGCAGCTTTCTTTTATCAGCAGGTTATGTTTACTTCTTTGGAGCTTGAAGAGAGAGTGAGACCTCACAAGACTAGAACAAATATATCTGAAGCCTCTGTTTTTTTCCAGGTTGTCTTAAATGCTTCTGGTATTTTTCTCCCTTTCTTTCTTCTTTACGTCAGGTCGAATAGACATTTTTTCCAAGTAAATGCACATAAGATTATTCGGAAGCTTGAAAAATGTCGCACAGGAAGAATGTATATAGCAGAGGTCGAAAACCACTACTGGTTTCAGTGTAGAAGCATTAGCATTTCTGGTTGGGGATAGTAAGTGTGGGCTCCAAGGGCAATGATCTGGAGTTCAGAAAGAAAAGGGAAAGTTGAGAGCAGAGCTCTGTATAGAGACTGGCTATTTACTCGAAGTGTGCATCTTTAAAAACAAACAGAAGAATGAAAAGTTTGTGTTTGGTTTTTCTTGTTTGAAAATCAAATACATACACAACTGTAGCCATCTTGGCTTTTTTAAATTGTTTGGTTTCATTGATAATCCCTTCCTCTTATTAACTATCAATGCAGGTAGTCCTTGATCTACAGCAGTTCATTTAGCGATCATTCAAAGTTACAATGGGACAGAAAAAAGTGACTCATAACCGTTTTTCACACTTAAAACCATTGCAGCATCCCCATAATCCAAATTCAGATGCTTGGCAACGGATTCATATTTATGATGCTTGCAGTGTCCCAAGGTCATTGATCACCTTTGGCAACCTTCTGACAAGCAAAGTCAATGGGGAAGCCAGATTCACGTAATGAATGTACTATTAACTTAGCAACTGCAATGATTCACTTAGCAACTGTGGCAAGAAAGTTTGTAAAATGGGGCAAAATTCTCTTACCAACTGTCTTGGCTTAGCAACAGAAATTTTGGGCTCAGTTGTGGTCGCAAGTTAAGGACTACCTGTGTCATTGCTCCATTTAGTTGAGTATTATCTATAGTAGCTTTGCACAACCTGGTTTTCTTTCGATGTGGTTGGGTGTGTTATAACCAAACATTATAACTGATAACATACCAAGTCATACTATCCTAGTCAGCACTGATAGGCCATATTTCCGAGATTACAAA